AAGTATAGGCCCTCCATTTTCACAAGTGTTAGGGGTCCAGGGTCCACGTGTACATGGGAAAAGTGCAAATTAAAAAAACTCTTTTTTGAACCTGAGAAAACATATTAATCAAATCAGTGATAATTAAATCAATAAAAGTTAAACCTGCAAATATGAAGAGCCAACTCTATTAAAAGCAAGTTTCATTAATTCATTCTACTAACCAGCAAACCCATGACACACTTTTCTAATATAAGTAATTGCACATTTTCTTTGGGTGAAATGTTGGATATCAGGGTAGCTTGTATTCTTCCAACTAATATAGCAGCATTAAAATAGCATTTTAGCTTTGTTGTGTATATACTCAGAACCAACAGCAAGTAGACTGCCATGGGCAGGAAGTAAGCCAGTTACCATATTGAAGTACATGCTGATAATAAAAACCCAAAGTCTGTCTGAAGGATATCATAATACGCCAGCATAGAGGGTAAGGGGGGGGGCACAATTATGTCACTGTGGGCTTTTTGACTTGATGAACTTGTCGGGGATTTCCCTCTTTAACTACACATTGCATAGTACTTCACTGCCTTTAAAATGTGACAAATTGTGTTTTGGGTCTGAATTCAAAACATGGCCATGTTAGTCTAGAACAGGGATCCACAAACTTTTTAAACAGAGGGCCAGGTCACAGTTCCTCAAACTGTTGGAGGGCCGGATTATAATTTGAAAAAAAACATGAATGAATGCCTATGCATACCACATATCTTATTTGTAGTGCAAAAATCACTTAAGACAATACAATAATTAAAATGAAGAACAATTTAACAAATATAAACTTATTAGTATCTCAATGGGAAGTGTGGGTCTGCTTTTGGCTCATGAGATAGGATTGTTGTCATTGTTGTGTGCTTTCAAGTCATTTCAGACTTAGGTTGACCCTGAGTGAGGGCCGGGTAAATGACCTTGGAGGGCCGCATCCGGTCCTCGGGCCTTAGTTTGAGGACCCCTGGTCTAGAATATCAGTATGCAAAAGGGATTTTGTAGCACCTTAGAGACTGAGAGAATGAGGTTAGTAGCATAAGCTTTCATAGACTAATTTTTGCTGAGGCAAGTTTCTAAACTTCTAGCCGCAACCTTCCCCCCAATGCATCATTGTTTCCATTTCAGTGACAAGTTATCCAATTGAAAGAAAGTAGGAGTCCTGAATATCTCTTACCAGGCAGTTGTATCAGACAAAAAATCTGTGAGAATGCTTGAACTGTCTACCAATTTCCTCCTCTGATTAGCAAATGCAACAGAACTGGGAATAGGATGCACAGAACAATCCTAAATCCAATCTCTGGTGTGTAGTATGAAAACAAAGATGTTATCAATATAGGTGTTCATTTGTGATAGGACTCTTCAATGAAAAGGACTTACTTTAGGAGAAAGGAGAAAGCTTACTTTAGGAGAAAGGAGAAAGCATGCATTAATTTTCAAATTCATATATTTAACCTAGACATAATAAAACAAATGTGGTTGCATTTGTTTTATTTGTTGACCCAAATCTCACCAAGCAATCTCCATTTGCTTCATTCTAAACAGATATAATATTAAAACAGGCTGCAGTTTCAAAGAACATTTGAATATATTGTCTGAAGATACTTTAAAGGCAAGAGGAGTTTTAGTTCCAACCTCTTTCGTTTTCCATGAAAACTTGATCTTAAACTGTAGTCTTCATCTTTTATATTCCCTATATCACCATAACCTAGGCCTAGTAACTTTCATATAGCTTAGTACATGTGAACTGTGATATATCATCAGATAGGCTTTAAAAAAAAGAATATTTTCCATTTGTGTTACAACAGTGGTTCTCAACTTGTGGGTCCCCAGATGTTTTGGCCTTCAACTCCCAGAAAGCCTAACAGCTGGTAAACTGGATGGGATTTCTAGGAGTTCTAGGCCAGAACACGTGGGGACCCACAGGCTGAGAACCACCAGATTACAAGAACAGGCAAAGTAGAAATAAAACCAATAAAGGATTAACATACTTTCTCTGCCATTATTATGGCATATTTCTACTGAGGTCAGAGCCACTAACTTTCTGTTAAATTACTTAACTATAACTATAATTGTTAAGTAACTGTTTCATGCTTTACCATCAAAACTTCACATGAAATTGTCAAGCTGCAATTGCAAGTGTAGAAAACCAACCAAAATCAGCAACCACACGTTTTTCAAATAGGCATACGGACTACAATGAGATCCCATCAGAGTAATAAAATGGCATGAACAATTGAGCCAACAACTGTGAACATAATTATGCTATTTCTGCAAATCATCCAAATGATTCCTCATCAGACTCAAATGCAAAAAAAAAGTATAAGATTATCAATGCTGTTTTCATTTTGAAACATCCCTGTATGCTCAGTACATCAGCTAAGATCCAACTACTTTCAGCACAGCTATGGCATTAATCAGATCCATGAAACTCTTTAAAGTAAGAGTTATACCCTGTAATTCACAACTTTTTCTGACTGGAGGAAACTGTGAGATATCACTATAAAACACTCTTTTCATACAAAGTAATCTAAGTAACACAGAGTTTTGAATGTGTTGCTTGCTGCACAGAAAAGAAAGATGGCTACACTTCACATCATTTAAAATGTACATTAGAGAAAGAAGCATGAAAAATCATCTCTGTCTCAAATGCTGTAATAGCAGAACAGCAGACTCTTCAAAATCTCTGCCAATATTATGCTAGGCATATATTTTAATGCAACATGCTGCAATTGCTTCTCAGTTATTCCTGGAGGCTACTTGAATAGGCCCAAAATAAACATAGTAGAAAATAAATATTACAAAAGATGGAATGCATACTAAACAAAACTGATTTTGTTTTCAAATACATATTATAAATAAATAACTACACTGCTAGAAACGCTTTATTTTCTAGAATGAAAACAGGCAATCTTAACAGTATTGCTTTGAGATAAATGTCCACTATTGAAGCTCTGTATTTTTGACCTCTTTTAACACACAGCAAAAGATAGCATATGAACTATTAAATCAGGCAGAATAAGAATTGAATGTAAATTCCCAACTTAACTAAGGCCTATGTAAAGCCAAACAAAAATAAGATGCATCCATAACTGTTCTTGAAATCAAAAGGAAGATTTTCACATTATCCCAGATGTGTTTATATGTTGATATAACCGCTGTATTTTTATACAAAAAATATAATTCATCATGTTTCATTTTCTAGAGTTCTCAAACAGTGCTATGTAATGTATACCATAGATTTTATTATGATTTTATTACGATGGTCTTAAAACAAAACTACGAAAGCATGAAAAAGGCAATAGTCACAATTAGTATGTTGCAATTTCACCTTTCCAGTGTACCAATCAACTCACAGCAATAATCAGTATCGAAAACCTCGGCTATGACATTTCATCAAAACAGACGCGTTCTTCTGCACTTATAACACTGAGCACCATGGACAGCACCAAACAACTCCAATGCAGACACAGGCGGAAGTATCTACAGCACCATGGACAGCACCAAAACAGTGCCTATGCGAGGACACAGCGGGACGCGCCTACAGCACCAAACAGCTCCGGTGCAAGGACACAGCAGGCCGCATCTACAGCACCATGGACAGCAACAGAGCTCAGCAGCCCAAGGATGTGCAGGAATATGAGCTGTCCTGCCTGGGCTGTAATCTGAAAGACTACACCAGGTAAGGGCCAACTTAAGCGGCTGAGGGGGGAAAAGAAAGGGCCTGAGGCAGTTAGGAATGGTGGGAGCCGAAGTCCAAAACACCTGGAGGGCCCAAATTGGCTCATGCTTGCTTTACACTTTGCTTATATCACCACAAGGGTAAATTTCCAAACTCTTTTCAAGACTGTTGCAAAACTGGGTCCTGAAAGTAGATACACATTTTTTAAAAATCAGGATAAGCCAAAAGAAACTGCACTGATTCCAATTGATAAGTAAATATATTGTTACCCCAAGTATACAGTATCTCAGCACTAAAGCTGAGCTTTACTTCCTTGTTCACATCAGAATCTGGGTTATTTTTAAATGCTGCGCTTACTCTCAAAATAAATAAACAAGGCCGCACTGATTTCAGCTGTGATTATGGCATCTGCTCAGCTTTGCAAGAGCTGCACTATGACAACATTTTTTGTAAGGAGCAAGGGAAGTGTGGCTAAGGCAAAATGGAAGAGTAGCCACCCACGGAAAGAAACACAGTGGCCACCAAAGCAAGTGCAGAACATCTCTCCAGTTCACTGCAGAGTCTCCTTGCAGTCAACACATCTGGAGCCAAGTCCAACTCCAGAGCTTGACAATGTTCCACAAGAGCAAGAAGAAGCCTCTTCAGAAGAAGAAGGGAAGAGCCACTTCTAAGACTCCATTGCCACCCTCTCTAGGGCTCTCCAGATCATGATGGAGCCTCCATCCTCCATGTTCTCCAGAATCACCTGTAAACCCAGGGAGCAAAAGCCTTCAACGCCCTCCAGAAAGCTTCCAACCAAGTAAGACAGTCCTCCATTCACGCAGGATCGCTGGGAGGAGTGGGGGAGGCATCCCATTCGTGCCTGTAGGGACATTCAGAGTCAGGACTCCAACCTCCTCCTTTCAAGGGAAGTTGTCCTGCGATTCCTGATCCAGCAACTCCGAAGCGCGCACAGAAAGCAACCCCACCGGCGCAGGGCTGCGAGAAACAAAACAAAAGGAGGCTTTTCCTCTGGGTTTCTGGGAACCCCCGAGAGCTGGGCGCCCGGGGGAAGAGAGGGAAGCCCGCGCCGGGCCGCATCTCCGGCTCCGGGCCCCAAACACACCTTCCGACCAGAGCAGCGCCCGCATTCACGACCCGCCAGAGAGGGTGGGAGGGAAGGAGGGAGGGGAGGAGGGAGGGTGGCCTGGCAAGCAAGCGAGGACCACTCCCCCAAATCATCAGCAACTACGGATGCGGAGGACGGAAAAGGGAGGGGAGGGAAGTTCATCGGGCGGGAAACTTTCTTCCTGGTGCCTACCTTGCACTCCTCGGGTCCCGACTGCACCGAGTACTCCTCGGCTTGCAGGTACTTCTGGAGCACCAGCTCGAACTCGTGGTAGCGCTCCCGCGCTTGCTGGTCGTAGCTCTGGTAAGCCAGGACGCAGCGGCGGCAGGAGCGGAGCCACCGGCGCCCCCTCGGGCCCCCCTCCCCCGCCAAGTCCTCCTCCTCGTCCTCTTCCTCCTCCTCCTCTTCCTCCTCCTCCTCCTCCTCCTCCTCCTCCTCCTCCCCGAGGGCCCCCAGGTCCAGCGTGCAGTTCCGAGTGTCCTGGCTGCGGCGGCGGCGGGGGAGGCCGGCGAAGAGCTCTCGCAGCGTATAGGAATTACAAAAAGGCAGGTAGAGCTCCGCCGAGGCGCCACCGCTTCCTCCTCCTCCTCCGCCTCCTCCTCCTCCTCCTCGCCGTCCGGGCCGCAGTTGTCTGCAGGCGTCCTCGGCGTCGCCCAGGAGGCTGAAGCACTGCTCCGGCGGCGCCTGGCCCTGGCCGCCGGCCTCGTGGCGGTCCCGGTGCCTCCCGGCGGCGACCTGCCGGGCCTCCACGCAGAGCCACAGGTGGTCGGAGAGCAGCACGGTGAAGAAGAGGAGCGAGGCCAGGGAGCGTCGCCATTTCTGGGCCCGCTCCGAGTCGGCGAAGGGCTTGTCGGGCTCGCGCGGGCCGAAGCGGCGCCGGCAGCAGCAGCAGGAGCAGGAGCAGCAGCCACAGCGGCGGCGGCGGCAGCAACAGCAGCCGGCTCCTCCCGCGGGGCAGCGGCTGCTCATCGTTCGCGGGCGGGCGGCCCGGGCCGGCTCCACGGCGAGGGGGGCTCCGCGGCCGGGCGCCACGGGCCCTGGGGCATGAGCGCCGGCGAGGAGGAGGAGGCGGCTGCGAAGGCGAAGGCGGGGGCGAGGGCGAGGGCGGGGGCAGTGGCGCTGCGCCTGGGCTGGGCCCGCGGCCTCCCCGTCGCGTGGCCTGGGCCCTCAGCCGGGCATGGTCAGAGCGGCGCGGGGCCCACGGGCGAAGGCGGCAAAGGCGGCAGAGGCGGGCCCCCGCTCCCCGCCTGCGGCCTCATGCCGCCCTCCTCAGCCGGAGCCCGGCCCGCGAACAGCCCCTTCGCCCGCTCCCGAGGCTCCTGAGGCGGATGCGGATGCTGCTGCTGCTGCTGCTGCGGTGGTGGCTCTGGCTCTGGCTCTGGCTGCGGCGGGCTCTGCTCTCACTGCTGCGCTGCTCCCGAGGCTGCCGTGGTTGAGGTTTCCTCCGGGTCCGGTCCCCGGCGTCTCTGGGCGCGGGTTGGGCTGCCTTCTGCCGCCAGCCGGGGGCCACCGTCATCTTGGGGCCCTGCGCTAAGTTGCCGCCATCTTCGTCCGGGAGAAGCGGCGGCGGCGGCGGCAGCGCCACTTTTTTGGGGGGAGCGCGCGGCCCTTTGCGTCATCTCCTCCTCCTGCGCCGCCAGCCTGGCGCATTGGCAGCCGCGGCGGCAGCGGCAGCGGCGGCGGCGGCGTGCTCTGCCTTGGCGCGGGAGGGAGGGAGGGATGGAGGGAGGGGAGAGGGGAGGGGGGAGAGCGGAGGAGGAGGAGGGGGAGGAGCAGGGAATCGCCTGCTGCCGCGGCTTTGGGGAAACCTGCCCATTTGGGGGCGGGAGGGGGGATTGTCGTCGGTCGGGGAAGCCTCCGTCCAAGGCAAGCGGGGGGATCCTCAGGAAAGCGGCTGGAGGCGCGCGCGCGGAGACGGGGGGGGGAGAGGAAGGGGTGCATTGGGGACCCCCTAGGCCTTTGCTCCGCTCCCCGCCCGAGGCTTTGGACGTTTTTAGCCCTCGTCGGATGCATTTCGGTTTATTCCGCGTGTAAGAGGACAAGCCGCCTCGGGAGTTTCATTCAGAGCGGGCGCGCGACGCGGCGGGGGGGGGGGGGGCGGACCTGGTTCCCCGCAGAAGCGCCCTGTTCCCGCCACTTTCCTCCCCCACCCGGCTCTTATTTGCCACTCTCCACGGAGCACTTTCCGGGAGGGACAAGGTCCACTCGAATGCCCTCGAAAGAGCCCTCCAGGGGACTTCCGTTGGAGAAATGGTTTGGAGAGCTCTCTGACGAGCAGTCTCCATAAAATAGTGAAGAGCGCAGACATCACATCACACTGGCAACGAAGATCCGCATAGTTAGAGCAATGGTATTCCCCGTAGTAACCTATGGATGCGAGAGCTGGACCATAAGGAAGGCTGAGAGAAGGAAGATAGGTGCCTTTGAACTGCAGTGTTGGAGGAAAAGTCTGAGAGTGCCTTGGACTGCGAGAAGCCCGGATGTTTTGATGTTTTACCACCATTGTGGGAGGCTTCTCTCATGTCCCCGCATGGGGAGCTGGAGCTGACAGAGGGAGCTCATCCACACTCGCCCCAGATTCAAACCCCTGGACCTGTTGGTCTTCAGTCCTGTCGGCACAGGAGTTTAACCCACTGCACCACTGGGGGCTCCAATCTGCACAGTTAAAATGATGGTATTCCCCCATAGTCCATGGCTGGTCCATGAGGTCAGGAAAAGTTGGAAGCGACTGGATGACTCAGTAGTAAACTATGGATGCCAGAACTGGACCATAAGGAAGGCTGAGCAAAGGAAGATAGATACTTTTGAGCTGTGGTGCTGGAGGAAAATTCTGAGAGTGCCTTGGACCACAAGAAGATCCAACCAGACCATACTTCAGGAAATAAAGCCCTATTGCTCACTGGAGGGAAGGATATTAGAGGCAAAGATGAAGTACTTTGGCCACATCATGAGAAGAAAGGAAAGCTTGGAGAAGACAATGATGCTGGGGAAAATGGAAGGAAAAAGGAAGAGGGGCCAACCAAGGGCAAGATGGATTGATGGCATCCTTGAAGTGACTCGATTGACCTTGAAGGAGCTGGGGTTGGTGACAGCCAATAGGAAGCTCTGGCATGGGATAGTCCATGAGGTCACGAAGAGTCGGAAATGACTGAACGAATAAACAACAACAAATTACAGGCAGACATTTTCCCCATAACCTCTTTATTATCAACAGCACCAGCTGGCCCACTAAATTGCTATTTAGTGSTCCAGTTCATGATCTTTTCCTTGAAGGAGGGGAGGGGGGGAGGATGGATAAGAAGGCAAGGAGAAGGTCAGGCTGCCCCCCCCCCCCCGAGCCCCACCAATTCAACCTTTGAGTGAAGCTTTTATCTTCATAGAAATGGCTTGTGTTCACCTTTTCAGTCTTAAGACCCTTTTAAGACTAATGCATTTCAGGAAGAGCTCTTTCATGGGTTGCCACATCAAAAAAATGAACAGGAGCTCCTGTATGTGTACAAGAGGTCATTTAAGTATGCTGGCTGGTTGCCTCAGGAGCAGTGCTTGCTGAAATTCCTTCTTCTATCCGACCATTAAGGGTAAAGGAGCCTCTTGCATCTTGAACCTGGCAGCCCCTGGGTTACTATACCTGAACAAGTGAGTTGCAGCCAAGAAAGTCTAAATACATAAATAGCAGTCCATTATTACATTACGCACCATTGTTTGGACTCACGCACAACTCTTTTCAAGCCTGAACTCTAGATTGATGCCTGATGGAAGATTCTGTGCCTTGGAAGCTTTCCCATTAAACACAAGCAAACCATTTGAGATCGTATCTTTCTGTCTCAGGATCCCAGAAAGCAGCCACTTGCTGCTGCATTGTTATGCTCTCCTGCTTTAAAGCTTATTTATGGGTTTTGTGGATCCGCAAGTGAGTACTGTGCATGCCCCTTCTCTTAGGACCCCATCTCACTTTAAGCTTCTTATGGTGGCTCTTTGTGAGGAAGGCATAGCACTTGGCATGTGCTTGACATGTGGATAGCCCTTACTCTCAGCATGTTCTCCACACATGCAGTGTAAGAGCTCCTGGCAACTGCTGTGGTCATTCTTCCTCTTCCTCCTATTTATAGGAGGAGCAGCTTTCCAGCATTCCAGCCCATGTGGAGGCAGCCTTTTCTGCAGCACCACAAAGGTTATTGCACAGCTAAACCTGGCAACGTTCAGCTGGCATTTGGCAGCGTGAGCAGGATGCAGCCCCAAATCCAGCCTTATGCATGCTTTATGAAGAAGCTAGTACTGGTGCTTGCAATATGATGTAGTCTTGAATAGCCATGCATACAGTTAATGGGGATTAGATTTGCAGGGTTCGAAATACTAATTACAGAAGAGCAACACTTGTGCAGGACCAAGGGCACAATATATGATACAATAATTCTAGCTTTGATTAGACTGCCCCCACCCCACCCCATTTGTATCGGGCAAAGCAGTAATCTGTTCAGACACTCAACCTTTATGCACATGTCTTCTGTCCTCACTGAAGACATGTGGCTCAAACCCTTGTGCTGGCAGGACTGCTGACCAAAAGACCAGCAGTTTGAATCCAGGGAGCAGGGTGAGCTCCCATCTGTCAGCTCCAGCTTACCATGTGGGGACATGAGAGAAGCCTCCCACAGGATGGCAAAACATCCAGGCATCCCCTGGGCAACTTACTTGCAGATGGCCAATTCTCTCACACCAGAAGCAACTTGCAGTTTTTCAAGTCTCTCCTAACACGAATTTTTTTAAGAGAATCTGCCTCAGTGTTTCTCCCCAAGGACACATTTTATATGCTAAATTATGCCTGTGAGCAATTCTCCTCCACCACCACTCAGTAAAAAAAACAACTACGCAGCTGCATGTTGACCTGCTCTTATTTCATTTCCATTGCGTACCATTTGTCATTAAGTTACCGCCTAGCAGATGGGAAGGCTAATACATCAATTAAGTTCCATATGTCACAGAACTTGTGCATAATTGTTTCTTTTGATATACCAATTGAAAGGTAGAAAGATTCATTTTAATAGTGTGGACAAGTTGTTAGAGTCCACTTAAATTGCTTGAAAGTCCTTGGTTTAGAGCAGTGGTTCCCAACCATTTTTTGACCAGGGACCACTTTGACCAGGGACCACTCTCCAACATTAATACCAAATCAGTTTTTGGTCAATTTTAGATTCAGTTTGGTTATTTGGTGTGCTGATTCAGAAAATTGCATTGGATAGACCACATCAGCTCTAGTTTCTGATACAAAACATATGCCACTCAGTAGTCACCATCTGCTTGCCCACAGGAAACCATATTTAATAATCTAGAGTTGATGTGGTAGTAGCAATCTTTCATGGGTAGTTAGCCTCTCCCCCCCTCCCCCCCCCCCGACATCCCCGTTGCCTCAGCACTATAAGAAGGTTCCACGAGACCAGTCACTCTCATTGCCACGTGGTTTCAAGGCAATGGTGTAGTAATGGCGAGGCTGAGGAACATATTTTCATTCTTGCAGACCATTGGTGGTCCACGGACCACAGGTTGGGAACCACTGGTTTAGTGGATCTGGTCATTTTTCATTTCCAAGACTGAAACCCAACATGTTTCCACAGGAATGTGAAAGAGTGCCCTCCAGCTTTAGTAGTAGCGGTAGTTTTCTTACAATAATCACAATTTCAAATAATGGGAATCAAAAGATCCAAAAAGTCTGACCCCATCAGACTTTTGCTCTTGCTTTAAAATAATTGAGAAATTGTGCAGTTTTAGATTAATTCAGATGTGCTCAGATGCACGTGGTGGTACTTCATTGTAATCAAAGTAGATGATATCAGAAATGGTTTCTCTAATAGGAAACAAGATGAACATGGCCTTCTTCATGTCATGCCCAATTATGACTTAATTATGCATTGTGATCCATATGTTGCAAGTCTCACTTTCACAATGAATGACTATTCTATGCTTGTCTTCCATATGTGTATTTAATGTCCTTTGATAGACCTCTGACCTTGTGGCTAGTGCTGGATCTTGTGATTTTTTTCAGTGGTATATGAAGGAGAACTTTCTGTTATCTTGCTCAAAT